GCCAGTCAACTAGGCACAAACTTATGGTTATTTAGTCCAACTAATAATAAAAACGTTGTTTATCAAAGAGAATCATCATTAAGGCAATTGAATCTCCATTGAGAACAAAAGATTATATGTAAAGAATAAGTAAAAAGTCAAGATCACGTGATATTAAAAAATTGTTTTAATATTAAACTATTTTGACTTTTATTTTTTAAAAATTAAGATACACTCACATTCACAAAACTTAAATTCATAACTCATGAGTTATTAGGTCTTAGTTCTTGCCAAAGATATCGTTGGCTAGAAATTTTTTCATTTTAATTAATAAATTAATTAAATATATTAAATTAATGTTGTTGAAAGAATATATTTTAAATAAATCTAAAATAAATGGGAATTATTACATGAATAAAATATTTAACTTAATAATTAATTTTTAAGATATTAACTAAATTGACAACAATTTTAGATTATGACTCTAAAAATTTAGATCAATGATCTAATAAAATATTAACTTCACACACACATATATAGAGTCTGCTGTTTTACATTTTAGGGGGTCTTCCTTCATCTAAGAATTGTTCAAAAAAGTTTGGATTATAAAACACTTTTCGACATATATATATATAAATCTATTTACACATAAGTTTTATACATCATACCTACATAAACTCTCAATCATTTATCTTTCTATTTTCAATACTTAAAATTTATTACGGCTTTTTAAATTAAAATAATAGTTATCTCTAACAAATATCAATAAATTTAAATTATTATCTCTTCACTTTCAATAGTTGAGATTTATTACAATTTTTTAAATTAAAATAATAATTATCTTTAACAAATATGAATAAATTTCAATTATTCATTTCTCTACTTTTAATGGTTAAATTTATTATGACTTTTTAGATGAAAAATAATTATCTTTAATAAATGTGTCAGTTTGTGTAATGTCCTTGAATCCCACGTCAATAGGAAATTATAAGTGAATCTAGTATATAAGTGTAGAGACCAACTATTACCAACAACTTAAACTTAAGTTTTTAAAGGCGTATGAATCTTGATCCAAAGAGTTATCAGGTTAATGACAGATTTCAACTCGATTTATTTTAATCGGTATCAGAACTGTTATTGAGCCTATGGATCTTGGCCTAAACTAGTGGCGGGCTTTAGCATAGTTCATCTCAATTTGTCAACTAGGCCTCTTAAAAATTAAAAAGAAAAAAACATCAAAATTACATCATTTCAATAAATTTATATTAAAAAAACTAAAATAACCTATTTTAAAACTAGAATTGAGTTTGTTTTGATCTTTTCTTATGATATTTTAATGAAATAATGTAATTTTGAATTGTTTTTCCTCTTAATTTTTTAGAGACCTAAGTCACAAATACCAATATTTATATATAAAGTGTTTTTTAGGTCATTCTCCTAAA